CTGTGAATAACAAATAGCTGTGTCAACAGACTCGAGTGCCTACTCCCCTTTGCTGTGTTCTTCCAGAGTTAGCCCAGCTATGGAGCAATTGTGGAGTTCTTACTCATTTGTTTTTGTATGCAAGGTATCCTTAAGCCAAAATATTTCCTTACCTCCTTAGTTACTTGTCAAAATCCCATCCATATTGGCAAATGCAACTTAAGATGTAGAAGTGAATGGATACAGTGGGCAAGTGCAGTGTCAAGCAAAAAATATTGCTTTATCTTGTTTTTCTTTTCTAACGTTTATTTTTGTTTTTAACATAGTATCTTTTTTAAAAAATTGTTTTAATTTTTTAATTTTCTTTTTTAATTTCAGCATATTATGGGGGTACAAATATTTAGGTTACATATATTGCCTTTGTCCCACTCGAGTCAGAGCTTCAAGCATGTTCATCCCCCAGATGCTGCCCCTTCCTCCTCCCATCTACCCAACACCTGATGAATGTTATTGCTATATGTGTACTAAAGTATCTTGAACACAGTTTATTTTCATAATTGTTTAAAATACTGTTCTTCAAAAAATAACAAAGGCCTATATAAGTAATAAAGAAATTAGAAAACATATGGTTTTTCATTAATTTTTCTTAAAAGATATATGTTTTGGGAATTATTAGCTAAAACTAATAATTTGATTTTGATAGGCTAAAATGCATTTTATAGTGATATAGAGAGATTTAATAGTAAATTTACATAGATATAGTAAATTTACTCTTCGGACTTCAACATAATTTGGTTTGGTCCCTGGTCTTGTCACTTACTAACTCCATGAATTTGGGCAAATCAGTTAACCTCTCAAACTGAAATTCACCATCTGTAAAATGGGGTTACTAACATTAACTTCACAGGTTATTATGTAGTATTGCTGGTGTTTAGGATGTCTCTTTCTTTTCTTTACTCTTCTAGGAATGTTGCTTTTCTGCTTTTGGGAAACTGCCCTCCTTTGGCTCCACAGGAGATCAAAGATCATGATTTCTACAACCTCCCCCTTTCCCCATGCACTATCCACAGGGGTGGGCATATTTCCAAAATGAGCCAATAGGTTTTTTCCTGGGATTTGCCAAATGTGTACTTCAATTAGGAGTCTGCCTTTCCCCTGGGGAGGAAGTGGAGAATCTTTGAGCATGATTGAGGTTGACCATCATGGCTTTATTTTCAGAAAGCCAGTCTGTGATAATACAGTAGATACACGAAAAGAAGGGCTAGTTACTCATACCCGCCCCAAATTTGGTTGCGTGGATCAACAAAATCTCCAGTTTTGGCTGAACTAACATGAGTTTGATTTTCACATTTGCAATTAAAGTCTCAACAAATATAAGCATATATAAACAATGAGTCACTTGGGATTAGCTGTATCCTTCTGTTTCTTCCTTATTCAACCTCTAAATTTTAGCATCTAACCACCAGGTAAATTGTGGTGCCTACCAGGGAAGCATTTAAGTCTGATCACTACATAATCTATTGGCTTCTGTATCCTCAATCTTGGTTAGGGTTTGGCAAATGCTAGGGTTTTGTCTGGAGGGAATACCAGGTTGGAGAGTGTAGCTGGATCATTCAACCCTTTAGCATTTTTAGAAAAAGAAAAAACCCCAAACTCTCTAGACCATATGCTTTGTTCTCACAAGCCACTTTAAACACAGACAGAGGGAGGTCCACCAACTTTTCTGTGTTAAGCAGTATGAGTCAAAGTCACCTCATAAACTGAGATCTGACCAGTCCTCGGGGCTGGAGGCTCCTGACCAAAATCTGCACCAGGATCTTTGGCTCTAAATTGCCTGAGACAACAAATTGAATAGCTCCTTTAGTTAATTAGCAAGCCTTAAATTCAATTTAATTTCTATTATATTTCTCTTTTTGGGTCAGTATTTTTCCCCCCTCATTCTGCTCCCTTCCATATTCTCTTCCTTTTTTATTACAAATAACATTTTGAAAATGAGTTTTTAAGAGTAAAATTTGCCATTACAGAAAAACTTAAAATGTAGAAAACCACCAAAAAAAAAAAAAAAAAAAAAAAAGGAATCACAATACTAACCACCCAGAGATATTCCTGGTTAATTTTTCACATATATTCTCCCACTTCTTTTTCCATGCAACAATATTTTAACATAGTTGAAATTATAATGCATATTCAACATTGTGTCTTTTTTTGTATTTTCATTTAATAAATCTAAACATTTTCTGCCATTTAGCATTTTTATGCCCATTTCTTTGGTATTATAAAGCTGCAATGAAGATCTTAGCATTATATCTTTAACAGCCATATTTCAGAGAACATAGAGCATTCATAGTATATGTTAAGGATTTACACCTAGGTAAACAATAATCCAGGTACTTGACTTCATTTGTGTCTTCCCAGATACAGACTAAATTTATAGAATGTATTATAACTTGAGCTGATCAGATTGAAGATGATATCAAGTATATTTATAAGAACACAATAAGATGTTAATATGCCTGATAATTGCAGAAATTGTTAGTTTCTGGGTAGAAAGGAAATCCAGGAGTATAAAAATTTATCACAAACACTAGACTTTCCAATCTTTCTACACCTGCCAAGCTGGCCCATTATTATTTCTGGCAAGAGCCAATGCTTACTTTTCTGCCAGGAGGCCCTCCTTTGCACAACTGAGAAGATCTGTTTTGTCAAACAAAATGTAAGCACATTTTGGTAATGAGGTTAAAAATGAAAGTAGTATTTTTCACTGTTTTAGAGAAAATGCAAAATAAAAGGAGTTGACATTAAGAAAACATTGTTAGAGAAAATATTAGAATGCAATAAACATGTGCCATTTTGACACCAGTCAGCTATGACTCCTCCTTCACCTGATCAACCCAGTGGCGATGCTCTTCAGCCTAGACACCTAGGGACAGTGCCTGAAGACACTTCTGACTTCACCTAAGTCATCTGATTATGCTAGTGACTCCCTACAACATTTGGCAACCATTTCACTTAACTTTTGAAAACAAATCCAATCAGAAAATGATGGTGCTCTCTGGTAGGAGGGATGCTGAAACAAGAAAATATTGGTTAAATAGTTTATGTCATTGATTTTTAAAAGATTCAATTTGAAGACAGCAAGAAGTGTAAGATTACAGAGATAAAAGCTCCATTTAGTCTTAACATTTTTCATGATATAAATGAAGGCTGGGCATAGTGGCTCACTCCTGTAATCCCAGCACTTTGGGAGGCAGAGGCAGGAGGATTGCTTGAGGCCATGAGTTTGAGACCATCTGGGTAACATAGTGAGACCCTATCTCTACAAAAAATAAAAACAAATTAGCTGGGTGTGGTGGTGCATGCCCATAGTCCTAGCTACTCAGGAGGCTGAGGTGGGAGAATTGCTTGAGCTCTAGAGTTTGAGGTTTTATGAACTGTGATAGCACCACTGCACTCTGGCCTGAGCAACTAAATGGAGTGGAGGTTTACATGGGGGCTGGGGGTTTGGGACAGAGTCAGTTAGTATAAAAAGTGTTTTTCTTTTGTATTTTTGCCACTGGAAACTAAGAAAAATTTCTGATTATCTTTCTCTGACAGAGTGGTATTTTATTTTCTTTCCAAAGATATCTTCTACTTTGAGAATTCCATCTGTGGCAACAGAAGTGATAAATGCTTTTGAGAAAATTAGCAAGCTTTTGCCCCATCTAAATGCTTAACATTAACAGCAGCACAGATTCAAACTCAATGAAACTTTGGTCCTTGTTCTTTGGACTAAAATGTGTTCTAATTGAATTCAGGCATTTAAATGGGAGTTTGGGGATTATTTTGCTCATTGGTTCTTAACTGGGGGATGGATTAAGAGTAAAGAAGCATTGGACACATACTCCTACTCTTGCTGAGAGCTACTGATAGAATCTAATTCCCTTTTGTTTAGGGGCAGAGGCAGAGGCTCAAAAGAATATAGGCAAATGCCCAAGGTTACCTTGTCAGTCATGGCAGAATAGGACTAGAACAAGGACTCTTCTCTCAGGATAGCATCCTTTCCACCTTGCACCTGGAATTCATGTGGGCATTGTGGTATGGAGGTGGACTCCTTACCAACAGGTATCACCAAGAGCTTCTTCCTACCCTCATTCCTGAGTTACATCAGCTCCCAATCCTCCTAAACTTTCTTTAACCAGAATTCGGCCATGGTGAACTTGGATGTACATGTGGGATCAGAGATATGTCTTATCTGATGTGACAACTCTCAAATGAGAGAGATCAGAAGGCTCCCATATAGCTCAACAAAAGTACCATGTACACTTGACGATGTCTGCATGTGTGAGGGATAGGGATGTACTGCTATTCTAACTTTGATCTATCCCTTTGCCCCAGAAAATCTTGTATTTATATAGAGAAGGCATCTAGGCACTGGACAGTTATTCCTCCATCGGGATGGAAGCCTGATGTTTTAAAGAGCTAACAGCTGGAGTCTGGTGGCTTTTTATAATTTGTACTAGTCACTCTTCACTTCTGGCTCTTCACCTGCTCTGACAGGATTGAAATAAAATAGCTTAGAGATAGTTATTTTATTAGAGCTGGAATCTCCTATCACTCCAACTAGAAATATCACTTAGGTATGCTTTAAGGTTATTTTAAGAAAATATAGATATAAAGGTACCTTGAATTATCCATGGTAACGGTGGTAGTGATAAAGGGGGAAAAGGTAAGGATATCCATAGTTAGTCTGAAAATATATTTTCAATATTTATAAAACTTTCCGTAAGGACTGGAGGAAATAAGTTCATGAAAGGCTCAGGTAAGGATGGCAGTATGTAAGCATATCCATAGCTGCACTATTTGCAATAGCGTCAAACTGGAAACTTCTCAAGTGCCCATCAGCAATAGGATGGATGAATTGTAATATAGTCACACAATAGAATATTATTCTGGAATGAGAATGAAACATCCACAATCAATGCAACAATGTAGATGAATCTCACAAATGTAAGTCTGAGAGAAATAAGCCAGGCACAAAAGAATACAGACTGATTGTTTCTATTTATATAAAAGACAAACACAGGCAAAGCTAGTGTATGATATTAGGAGTCAGGATAGTAGTTGTCCTTGGAAGAATGAAGTGAAAAGGGGGGGGGGCTTCTAGGGCACTAGTAATGTTCTATTTCTTATAGGTGCTGGCTACAGGGCTATGTTCAGTTGGATTAAGTTCATTGAGCTGTACACTTATGCTTTATATAATTTTTTGTATATATGTTATAATACTTCTATAACTTTTAAAAAAGGCAAATGGGCATTTTTAAAGAGGGAGGAAAACTAATGTCCATAATTTGGATAGAAGTTCCCTCACTTTCATCTTTTGTTAGGAAAAATAAGGATTTTGGAAGTATCCCTCTTTTGTAACATATTAATTAGGTAATGAAATGAACTAAACAAGCCAACAGAACAGGAAAAGAGAGGAACATAGAAACCTCAAGAGATAAACTCCTATCAGGGACTAGACAGTGCCCTTCCAGAATTCTACATCACTTAGAATTCTAGAAGCAGGTCCATTGGAGGCCTCCCATTTCTATTCAGAAATGCACTTTCTAAAGCTAGATAGCTGGCACAAAGGTTTACTGAGTAATGGGCTCACAATTTTAATTTATTATGAAAATATTTCCAGCAGATGACAAACCTGAAAAGATAGGAGACACAGAGCTACACAGGTGTGGTTTTTCCCTTTATAAGACACCCTCAAGGACAGACTGAATTTTGAAAGTCTTGCTTATAAACCACAAGTATTACAAATCTCTAGACAACTGTCCTATGGCAATTTTTACCCCAAAATTTGTGCTTAAAGCTTTTCATCAATATGATTTGTAAGTTTAAAAAGTCTCAAATTTTCATCTGTATACCACTTAACAGATCTTGGTTCCTAACTGTTTATCTTGGTCTGAAACTTCAATATTTAATGACTACCTCTAATAGTTACTTAGTCATAAATGTAGTTAATAATTAAATATAAAAATTATTATTTGTACATTACTATAAATCTTTTAAAAAGACCAAGTTTTGATAGAGAACAAGAAATTGCTTAGAAAATTATAGTGGGCCTCAAGAATCTCAATATTAGTGAAGGTGGGGACAACAAAAAACAATTTTAGATCTTCATTTTTGCCCTAAGAGTACTTAAAATAAAATAATCACAGAATGAATAACTGATGCATGGTAAACTGAGTTTAAAACTATATAATCCCCAAGGCCCCAATGTGTATAAGAATCCTTTGGAAGGGTTTTGAAGGAGTATAAATGGTTACAAACAAAAGTAAAAACAAGTACTCAGGCAATATGTTTTAAACTAACTTCACCACTGTGCTTCAGGTGCTCAACCGTATTCTTCAACATCTTCTTTCTAATTTGGATTAGAAATCCCAGTGGATTTCACTAATTTTCACTAATCCCATTGTTAACCTCAAGTGGTTAACATTATTTTCTAGGGACAACATCAAACTGGCAGACCATAAAGGAAACAGAAATGAACAGTAATATTATCTTTAGAATTAAGCATTATTTACACAGTGACAAGTGATTAATAGACCTTAGACCCTCTTTCTCCCTCCACAGCCTTTCTAGAATAATCTAACTTCATTTGTATTATAATGCTCACATCTCTATTAATTACCCCAAGTCAATTCCTGACTCCCAGGGCCCATTTTCTCCCTGCTAGAGAGTTCCCCATTTCTGTGGTGTTGGCAAGTCTAGCCAAGGGCTGCAGTGCTTCTTCCAAAGATCACCAGATCCGGCATTTCTTTTCTGGATTCATGTATGAATTCTTGCGACAGTGAAAGGCTTCTGAAAACTCAGCGGAGTTTTGCAAAGTCCCAATAATCCTTTGAAACAAACAAACAAAAAGTCACCATTAGCATTTGATACTCATATCCAAACCACATTGGAGCTGTGTAGAATTTCTCTATGAAGGCCAAGTGAGTGAATTTGGAAATTAAAGTTTAAAAGAAGAAAGAAAGACTGGTTAGTGAGTCAGTGCCTTCTCGTCAACAGAATTTTTCAGTGGAGAGGTAACAAAATACAGGAGTTAAGAGCACAGATTTTGGAGACAGGTCACATGGTCTGAATTCTGCTTATGAGCCTTTGGTGTGTCTCAGTTTCTGCACAATAGAACCTTCATCTTAAGGTTGTCATGGAGTTAATAATTCATAAATATTCCATGTGTGTTTGTAAAATAAATGACTAATTCATATTTGGAGTGGCAGCTATTTGGAGTTGTAAGAAGAGTTTGGTCCAAGAATAAAATCATGATTTCTCACTACATCTTGGAAAAGCTCACACAATAACCTAAAATGTAACGAACTTTTAACAGATATTTGTTGATGTGATTTAGTAGGGAAGATAGGGAATTCTTTTCTTTTTTTGCCAAAAGGAGTCCTTAAATATCAGAAACTGGATTCAGCCTGAATAACTGGAAAGAGCTGGTAAAATGCCAATTTCTTCTTATCTCTGACCCCAATGGGCAAAAACAACATAGTCCAACTCACTATCGGCACCGAACAGCATTTGAGGGGAGAAACAGGTCAGCACAATGATGCAGAGGTGATGTTTTCACACCAACCCTGAACCCTGAACCAGCTCCTTCCTTTCCCTTCCTGCTGAGATTGGCGGTCACCTTCACCTTGGGGTAGGTGGAAGGGCCTGGAGGTACGTGGACTGCAGCAGTGGGAAGACTAGGAGCAAGTGACAGGAGAGTCCACTCTGATTTACAGGACTCTCCCCATGTGGTACATATCCTACCATGTATACTTCCCACCACTTCTCTCCACCCCATTCTCCACATGGCAGATAGAGTGACCTTTAAAAATGTAAATCTGGATCCACAATTTTCTTACTTAAAATCTTGCAGGGACTTGAAGAAAATTCATACTCTTCTTTATAATCTCCAGTGTCCTGATGGCTCCAGCCTTCCTTCCCAGCCTCCTCATGGTATATTTCTCTTCCAATTCCTCACTAGGCTCAAGCTATGCTGACCTGTTCTCTGTCCCTCAATCCAGCCAAATCCTTTCCCTCTTTGGGGCCTGCTGTTACCTGCTACCACTCCCTGGAAAGTTATCTGCCAGTTGCTATGTGGCTAACTTCCCAGCCTTCGAGCTATTGCTTAAAAACCACTTCCTGGTAGCCTTCTTTGAATACTGTCTAAACTTGTTCCTCCCACTTGTACTATGGCACCAAGGCACTTATCACAATTTACAATGATTTGTTTTCCTTCTTTACTTCCTGACACACCCACTGGACTATAATCTTGATGAAGGCGAAATATAGTCTGCACTTAGTACCCACGGGTTCCACATTTCAAGCAACCATGGATGAAAATGTGTGTGCATGTGTGTGTGTGTGAAATTGTGTCTGTACTGAACACATATACACTTTTTTCCTGTCATTATCTCCTAAACAATATGGTATAACAACTATTTACATAACATTTACATTGTACGAGGTATTATATTAGAGGTGATTTAAAGTATAGGAGGCAGGATGTGCGTGGGTTATATTCAAATACTATACCAATTTATATCATGGACTTGAGAATCCATGTATTTTGGTATCTGTGGGGGGTCCTGGAACCAATCCCCCATGGATACCCGGGAAAGACTGTGCTGTGTGTATATGTCTCGCTCTCTGCTGTACCCTCAAAGCCCAGAACAGTGCCGTGCATCTCAGAACTCAGTACATGCTGAATGAATGGACCCATGGGCTGGTCATGGGGATTACCTGTAGAGGAGTAATAGGGCATGATGAATAAAAACACTGTTTAGTGCTTTTTTTTTTTTTTTTTTTTTTTTTTGCTACTATTGACCAACTAGAAGAGAAAGAAAGCGCATTATTTACCTCTCCTCGTTCTTGGAAAGAGAGATCCATATGGACCTTCTGTTAGTTTGACTTTCTCATGTCACCCATCAACATATCACCTAACCCTGCTAATTCCCCACCATAAGCAACCCCCATCCTTCAGGGAGGATGTAACATTTTTTTGGTTGGTTGTTTTTTAGAACTCTTCAAGGAGTCTTAAAGGTAAAAATAATCTTCCTAGTGTGGAAGTGTTGACGTCAGGCGGAGACAGAGCTAGGGAATTCGTTAGAGATCTGTCAGTCCACTTGAGTGGGAGATGGCTGGCTTCCCCACGAATGGAGTGGGGTCTGAGCCTGGTATTTAGCTGTTGGTGAACCTGCACGTGAAGAGTGGAGGCTCTGGCAGTCCTTGCCCAAGACCCTTAGGAAATGGAGCCACCTGACTTCAGTTGGGACACTCGGACTGTAAGGATCTCAGCAGTGACCATAGCAGGCTGGACATGAAGCTATTTCCTCCTTTCTAGGCTTCTGTGATGCCTTTGGATTTCTGTACAACTGTAGATAGTAGTACACTGAAAAACTACTCCAATTAAATTGCTTATGTTTTAGCTTAGGCTAGGATCTTAGAGCTTGGCTTAATTTGATTGAAAAAGAAGATGTTTATGTCTTACTTCTAAAATGTTCAAGAACAAATTCTTGGCCATGTGAAAGCATAAAAAGTCTATAGTCTACAACCCAGAAGAGGGCTCTCACTAGAGCCAAACCTGACCATGCTGGCACCCTGATCTTGCACTTGCAGCCTCCAGACTGTGAAAAATAGATTTCTATTGTTTATAAGCCAAAAAAAAAAAAAAAAGAGGAGAACAATTTCATTTCTATAATGTAGTCAAAAGTGACTGTATAGGTAGGAATCAAAAGATCTTAGAAACTAAGAATTTGCATTGGTTTTTAGGTTTTAAGTCTTTTCAGATTTTAGGCTCCTTGACTCTATGTTAGCCAGGAGCTTTGATTCATTTAATCCAATCCTCTTCCCAATTCAGGAATAGGTACTGGCTAAGGGGCAGACATCACAGTGGCCTGGACACTCCCCATACTGGGAGTGAGTTCCCTGGTTGGCAAGGTAAGCATTTGCGAGTCACTGACCAGAGAGCTGCATTTTTTTTGTTTTTATTTTATTACAAATTTCCCAAAGGATTGTGTCTTACATTTTGTCATATGAGAACAAGTACTTCAGTAAAAATGTCCAAACCCATGACTTAATTCTACATTTCTCTTAAAAACTTTAAAAAAATTAAAACCAAAACAAACAAACAAAAAACACCCCGAGGGAAGAAAAGTCTTTGAAAAACACTACTGGGAGTCAGCAGTGTGGAAACATTCAACCTAGTGTGCACTCAGCCCTTCATGTCCATTCCATCTTCTCTCTTTCCTTCCAAAGACTTCACTTAGATCATGATCCTGAGCAATTAAGTCAACAACACAGGAGGGCTTCCCTTACTTTCCTAGGACTCTAAGTAATGTTTAGTGCTTATAACATCAAATCTCTGACTGGATGATATGAGTAATCTATTTTTGAAAAGTGGATACATTATTAATAAAATGAATCCCTTCTCTAAGCGTGAGATCATATTTCCTTAGTATTACATAGAATATATAAATGATTTTATGCTATATGAAAACTATGTATTAATAACTTCTTGTTTTATATTTCTAATAAGATAATAAAGACTTATTGATTATTTTGTAAGATGATTTGGTTGAAATTTTTACTTCATTATATAAAATAATTTATTATACTGCTGCTATATATTCCCTTGGAAAATAATCACTTGTATTAAAACATCTAAGAGTTAAACATTGTGTGATCAAGAATGGACTTTATATCCTATAACATATCTGACTACTCCTACCTGTAATCAATGGAATTTTTGAGTTACCGAATAACCTTTTTATAATTAATGGTTTCTATGACAATCTTTTGTTATTTCTTTTAAATCAATAACTTGATTACAAGGTTAACTGGCTTCATTCATGAATATGCTATCTGATCTTTATCATTAAATAATTTTTATGATTTTTTCAAAGCAAAGTCACATTGATGAGTATATCTTCCACTATACATTCATAAAGAAATAAATGCCTGAATAGATTCCTAGGTATGGGCTAAAAGTTAATAGGTGCTAACAAAAGTTTTACAAAGTTCACCCAAATCCATACTGATACTAATAAAATATCATGAACAAATGCTAATATTTAAGGTAAATGGGGGAGACATCAGTATATCAAAGCGAGTTTAACCTAAGCATGCTAAATTATAGAATGAGAAGGAACAAAATAGCCATATTTGTTGAAAAGGTCTACTAAATACACTAGAAATAATATTCTTTCAAAAATATTAGAAATTAAGCTGTGAAAAACATTTCTTGCCTTGCTAGTGATATTAGGTCTATAAAATGCCCTTTTTATCCTTGACTGGACAATAATATTGAATAATTTAAGCATCTAAGTCATTTTTTATTTGGACTTGCTTTGTAAATTATCAGACCCTCATATATTGTTATTATGTAGAAATATTATATCTAAATAATTTTAAAAACACATTTATAAATTATATAGTATTATTATAACAACCATTTTCTGAAGTGTCTATAGATAGCTAACTAAAATCTAGATTTCCAAAAAATACTCAATATTTAAATTATAGATTTAATTTCTAGATGAATAAAGGGAAATGTATTTTTGAAAGGTTTAAAAAGTTTATTTAAGAGTATACAGGCTTTCACTATGAAGAAGAAAATTATAGTTAGAGCTCACAAATATAGTATTATAGATTCAGCTTTATATCAGGTATATTTTACCTTTTGTTTTTAACAATGTGGCTTTTTAAGCACAAGGTTACAAATATCCCTATATCTTAAAAAGATTTTTACATAAACCACCAAGCATAAATTTTCAGTAGCAACTCAATGTCTATTAGTTTTGAAAGTTCTTTAAAAAATTTGTTTTACTTTATACAGCCAGGAAACAGCCTGTTTCCAAAACTAAATGTAACCTCAACCTTTTGCCAAGGAAATCTCTTTACCTCCAGAGAAAATAATTATTTCCTTGACAAAAGGTTGGCACTCCATTTACCCTTGAAAAAAAATAAGAAAAATAAAAACAACACATACAACTTCTCTTATTATGAATGAAAAATAGTCATTTAAGGGGGGCATCTTTGGAGCCAGAACAACAAAAAAAATTAAAGATACAAGTAATTTTACACATTTGTAATAAAATATTGTTTTCAGTTTGAAATTAGGTGTATAAAACAGTTACCTACCTATCACTTATCAGTTACTGACATTCTAAACTATGCAGAACATAAGAAATAAGCAACAAAAGCCCTTGACTGTCAGCTGATAGGGCAATTTTGCAATGTCCATAAACCTTTTTCATAGGCATTCTTATTCTATTCATATAGTTTTAGTATTAATTTTCAAACATATGTAGGAAGCGTCTCATGTACATTAACATGAATCCTTCAGCAACTCTCATGATAATTTAAGCCTCATTTTACATATCAAGAAACAGGTACAGAGTTTAAGTAACAGCTAGTAAATGGTGGAACCATGGTTGGAACTCAAGTGTTTCTTCTTTCAAAGCCTATGTTTGCTTTTACCATGTAAGCTTAACACTGTGTTTTCTGAGCTAATTAGAATGGAGGAATGGGTGGCTACAGGCAGGCAATACGGTAAAAAGAAAGAGAACGAGGGAATAAACAGACATACAGAGAAATTCCAGTAAAAAGCCAAAATGAAAAGTCAAAAAGTATCAGCATTGGTGTAGGAGTAAATAGTTCCAGATACTATAGCTTTTGAGGATTTCACTAAATAAATAAAGAGCAAAACCACAGCTAGTGATCATAACAATAGTCTGTTTCATCAGAAAAAAGAGGTTAGATCTTGTCCAAGATACTTTGTTAAGGCAAGAAGGTAGAAAATGTATTTTGAATAGACAGATTTTAATCCAGTGTTTAGGAGAAAATGTTACTATTCAAAAGAGACAAACTTTTCCCTGTCAAAAAATTAATTTGCAACCTTTCATTCTCCGAGGATGACCGATACACAAGGTATTATAAAGATACTACTTAAATTTACTGAGGATTTTATGGATATATGTTTTAGTTCATGGGGAAATACAGGACAAAGCTTTGACAAATTAGATTATATGGTGGTTTGTGTAAGCTTTGGCTATTTTCAGAATTAGATTCTTTATACCTTAACTTCTGAAAACTTTAGTAAGGAAAAAGACAACTTTTAAAAATTAAAACTAAAAGTTTCTTGGATAAGCCATAATAGGAATTGCTCCAGTGACTTTGTTGCTCATTACCTAAAAAGCTGCTAATTTAAATATCTTAGCACGACTAAATTTAGCTTGGATTACACAGAATAAACAGTTAAGCAAATGAATTTTGAAAGAACTGTTTAGGCAAATACTAGATAGTTACGATGATAATGACAATGATGATACTAGAACAAGCTGAATAAATTCTTTAATTTTTAAATGTGTTACTTTATTGCTTCATAATTGAAAGTGTTTTTCCCCATAAACAAATGTGTTTTTTTCCCAGGAATGAATGATCTTGGCAGTATGTTCATATCCATTTTAGGTAGGGCTTTTGAAATTTATTTCATTAGTTCTCGTTTGTTCTCAAATTCCATTTTTCAACCACCCTGCTAAATTTTTACTTTTTTCCCCTCCAGACTTTCTTGCCTGAGAAGTGTAGTCGTTGATTTGCAACTGAGTGATTAAGTGTTATAGTCCATGGGAAAGGGGTAGCATTAGAAATTCTGTCCTAAAACACATAGGGATCTAGCATTTAACATTTCAAATGTTGGTTAGAATAATTCTCTTTCAGTCCATTGTTCTCTTAGATATTCTGATTTGGGAAGGACTTTGGGTATCTTCTAACTTAGTCTTCCACTCTGTAGGGCATTTTCTCCAGCACCCTGGATGGGTTGTTCTCTGACCTCTGTATCAGTATATTCTCTCCTCAAGTTTTGGGGACAGTGCTATTCCATGGTGGAGAACCTCTAATTAGTAGAAGTTTTTCTTTATGTTGAATGTAAATTTTTCTTTAAAATTGAGAACTCATTGGCCTAGGCCTAAACCATTCACAGCCTCTTAGGAACATCTTTATGCTAGCCATAAATAGAGGCATTATTCTGAGGCCATATGTTTGTTGAAATCTACCAGGTGCTGAGCCTTGGACACATAGTTCTAAGAAAAAGAGCAACCAAGGCTATGTTTGTGTGAACATATACTGTATCCTGTTGATCTTATGACTCTCAAATAAAAGGGGATGGTTATATACACACCCAGTGAGTGTGGTGTGCACCGTCTGGGGGATGGACACACTTGAAGCTCTGACTCAGGTGGGGCAAAGACAATATATGTAACCTAAACATTTGTACCCCCATAATATGCTGAAATAAAAACAATTAAAATAAAATAAAAATGATGAAACATTTAAAAAAAAGCACTGGATTTCCAAATATAATAAAATCACAGACAAGGCCATATTCCAAATATGGAAGCCAAAGAGCCAATATGGGATCACCTTGGCTGCTCTTTATACCCACATACCTGAAACTGCCTGGGCTGTGCACATCTGTTTTAATGGAGTTGATTGCATACTCTGGCCTGTAGGTCCCACACCACACCTAGGATAGATAGGAATAGAAAAAGCAAAGCAGTGTGCTTAGATTCGATCAAGGATTATTTGTTTGAGCAGGTTGGGGGGAAGAAACAAAATTAAATTGAAATTTGCATTTTTCAGCCATTAAGTTGTCAAATAATGAATAATCAAGAACACAATTATTTATCATTAATATGATCTGACAGTCTATCATAAACAGTGAAAGGTGGTCAAGTCAAATGCTCCACCACAATTGATAAAAGCAAGAAAACTCAGTATGCACTATCTAACTTACTGTGAAATTATAACTCAAAATGATTTCCACATCTATCATTCAAGAAAGATACAATACCTGGGCAAAGTTCAAGAAGAACAGTTGTTTGTGATTTAGGTCAAGTCCAGGAAGTAATTTTTCTTCACCATGCTTTTTAACATAATTCTGGTATGCCTAGGCAGTTGATAAAATAGAAAAAAGATGATTATAATTTTTAAGTTTGTATATAAACCTACGTAAATGACCATGTAACCAAGTAATTAACCTTTATATTAAAATCACTGTAATGATACATAATAATAATTTAGATATGACAAACTACAACTATTTCATGGATTAGAAAGAAAACGAGAATTTATTTTCAAATGCTCTGAAAAGAACAGGATACTGATTAGCAGATGACAAGAGCCTAGTACATGTCATATGATCAATAAATGTCAATTGAATGAATGGATGATTAAAATAAGTGATGAAAAACTTATTATCTAAATGTTCTATGGATGAGGCCAGCCACTTGGATGAATGGATTGCCAAGGATGTCTGTAATTGCTAGGTTAGGCTTAGTTACTACTCTTAGCAAAATAGACTCACACCAGACTTAGTTTGAGTGATTCTTACCAAAAGTCAAGGGATTCTCTTGAGACTCCTTAGAGGCCTAGTATCGTATGAGCGTGAGAATAAGGCTATGCAACTATTCTGGTCCCTTGAAGACAAGACAAAATAGACTGAACTTCAGTCACATTAGGAGGAAGAAATTTAGGTAACCTGAATGTCAGAAAATGTTCTTAATTCTTAAGGATTTATGAACATTATTGAAAAAAGGTAGTTTTTCTCTAATAAATATACTTAAAAAGGATTGAAAACAAACTTTTTGAGATGTGTCATTTCCAATTTCCAGTTTGCTTCATTATATTCTAATTCTGTACTTTCTCTAGGTGAGGGTCTCTACAGAAGTACCATCAATCCAAACTTGGCTAGATTTTCTACAGCAGTGATTCCCCATCTGGCTGTATGTTAGAATCACCATGGGAATATTAAGAGCACCAGTGCCTTCCACTTCTAGCCAAGATGGAGTGACAGGTATTGGATTTAATTTCCTGCTGAAGCAACCAAACAATGGACAAAATATAGGAAGCAATGGTTTACATAACACTGAACATCAAGGAAAAAAAAAAGAAAGATTTCTGAGAGATGGTAAACAAAGTGAGTCCTATGATGGCCAAGCTTATTGCCCTGAGAGTTTTCAGCCCACAACATAGGAAGGAGAACCTCAGTCAGAGCCTGGGGAACTCCTTGAGTTGAGAAGAAGCTGAGAGTTCAGAGATACCAAGAACAGAGTACTACAGCTGAGAAAGTTACACAAAAAGAAAACTTCGGAGATCGCGGATGATCACCTTCAAACATTCAGCTTAGTATTGATCTGGAGATGTGTATGAACAAACCACTCAATGCTAGGAGAAGAATCACTCAAAAGGATTAGTGATAACAGTGCCTGGTACCCAGGACAAGAATGGAAAACCACAGGTTTTACACAGTAGAATCCTGTCTCAGCAGTTGGAAATAATTGTCCCTAGACTGAGAACTGTCTCAGTCCCACCTAACAAGTTCTAAAGCAAGATCCAAAAGGACAAAACCATTTCCAAGGAATTTAACTGTATCCTAGAATAAAACTCAAGAATATTTATAGAAAAACAAAACAAAACAAATAATCCACCCAAAGAAGTAAAATGCACAATGTTTGGCATCCAGCAAAAAAAAAAAAAAAAAAAAAGAAAGAAAAATTACCAAGCATTCAAAGCATTAGCAATCTACCATCCATCAGGAAGTGGCTGGAAATCATGTTTTCTGGAAACAACACAGAAGGCTTAATCTCCTAAACTTCATACTCTGATTGTCCTTGATCAATGCCAAGTCACAGGGCCCACCATTCATGTTTCCCTATACTTCTCTGATGCTTTCTCTTCCCAGAACCAACCACTCATGTTATTTTCTTCCTCTCTAACCAAAAGATTTCTATGGTGAACAAATAATTCTACATTCTCATCCACTCCACCAATCATTGCACTCATCCTTGTTTTAGAGAAGCCCAATTCTAGTCTAGGGATATCTTGCCCCTTGTACCATCCCAAGTAAACTCTGCTCATTCGCCCACATGTGGGCTACCTCAGGGTTGAGAGAAGCATTCAAAATCATCCATACTCCTCCCTGTTGCTCCTAAGACCACCAATCCTCCACCCTTTCGTGAAAATCCCTACTTTTCTTATGCACATGGCATCCACTAGAACATCATTTGTTCAGATAATCAAATAATGCCATTTTTTAGGGAGGTTCGTTGTTATGTCTCCAGCGCCTAGAATAGTGCCAAGATCATAGTAAAGTCCCAATTAATACTTGTTGAATGGAAGAATAAATGGAAAGCTAAATAGAATCCTAAGTGATGCTCCACTGATAATACTCCTTTGCACATAGCAGTTTGGTTGACTGTAAGGCCACGTGATGGAACCATATCACTTCAGTCCTTCAGTCCCCTATCATAATCATGGCAAATGAACAGTGGTTTAATATAATGCCTCTGATTTATGCTGAGATTTATGCCTCTGATTTATGCTAATTATTGTTCTCAAATGCTACTCCACCTGCTGCAAAACTGAGGGCCCTGTTCATTATATTGATCAATGAGCCTGAAATAATCATCCTTATGGGACATCTTTCCTACAAAATTTATTTCAGAGATTACTTCTTGGAAAACTGTTGCCTCCTTTGTAGAACTTTCATATCTCCTCATTTCTGTTGATATAACATTCTGTGTTTTCTTGGCTTTTTGCAAACTTAAAAGATGTGTTTAGTTCTAATCACATCAACTGTACTGACCCTTATGATTAGTATATTTACAATAACCTTTCTCTTCACATTTTTCCCATTTCTATTCATCATTTATTGTTTATATTATATGTGGGTTTTTTTTTTTTTTGCAAAAGGCTTTAAATGAATGATTAAATATGCTAAACACTCCAATCACTAAAATGGCAAGGAAATATTATTACTTACTCTGTATGCTTGGCCAAGGCCTCCATTATCAGCAATGTTTTCTCCCAGTGTATTAATTCCATTGAGCTGTTTTTAAAAAGACCTTTTATTAGGATCATTAAGAAAAACATCAATAGCTCACTTAAGATTGAATATATTTAAAACTTTTCAAGAGAATACTAATGACATACGTGCTGTCCACCTGCCAGGTCCCAGGAAAAGTTTCCGTACTGGTATATCATGCATTGGGATTGGTCTTTAAAATTATTTGCAGACTGTTGAGTCCACCAGTCAATGAGGTCTCCATCCTTGTTAAAATTTCTGCCTATAATATATTTATTTAAGTAAAATGGGAACTCATTATAACAAGAACTACAATAAGATACCTTTAATTCAAAGCACGAGAACCAAATACTTTTGTGTAAAATTGGACAGATGATGTGAGACACCACTGTCCCTCCCCATCCACAGGGTTGGGAAAGCCTGGACCACTGGAGCTTATTTGCTGATGTGTCTCAGTATTGACACAGGTATCTCACACACTAGGGTCTGGATATGTCAGGTGAGGCCATCAGACAAAACACTCCTGAAATCATGCCTTGTTCTGTTGGATGGTTTTTGCTTCAACCAAGTCTGTCTAATGAGATATTTTGAGGTTTTTAAAAAGGCTGGCATTTTCATTCTGACATTCATTTCATATTCTCAGATCCTTCATAAGACATCAAACTGTGGGCTCAGTTTCCCTCTACTATAAGCACAAAGAAAAAGTCTTCCTTTTCTCCTGAAGCTTTTCTGCCAGTCCTAAACTACATTGATCTTTCTTCTTTTAAAGCCCCAATTGCGTTTATATATGTCATATGTTTTGACATTTAATTTTATCACCTTTTAAATATGTATTAAATATTAAAATGAATAAGAATAGGGCTATGCTATATGTATAATAAATATTAAAATGAATAAGAACAGGGCTATGAAGCCAGACTACTTGAACTCACCTCCTGATTCCACCAATTCCTAGCTTTGTAACACTGAGAAAGTCTTTCATGTGCCCCTAGTTTTTTAACTTGAAAAATGAAAATAGTATTAGTATTTACCAGTTAAGACTATTGGATAGTTTAATTGAGTTAATAGACACTTATAGTCTTTTAAAAAATTATATCCTTCTTGTCTCCTGTTCTTCCTCTGGCTCTCTAAAGTTGGGTCTAGTTAAGGTTTAATTATTTTCTTGCTACTGTTCTCTTTTTACTTTCTTCCCACTTCTGAACTAATCGTTTTCATAGCTTTAACTATCATTTCTGTACATGTTTCACATATTTTCTTCTATTCCTCTTAGGAATTCAGCTTTCATTGAAACTCTACATCAATTTTTCCCTTTAGGGAAGCATACAAACATTTAAGTACCTACTCTTGAAAGAGTGTGAACTAGGTAGTAGATATAAGATGAAAAAAGCCAAAAAAGTCCCTAATCAAAAGCACTTAAACTTGAGAGTCTTATGGGAACTTGGATAGGCAATACTTTCTGATTTTATGAATATATCTGATTCTCAGACATGGACATAGACTCTGACCCCTAAGGGTCTAGCAAGATAAGTAACATACGATTAGAAAATAAGACCAAGCATTATCACCGGTGTTGACAAATATCAAAGTGTTTTCTCAAGATAAGTATTTGCTTTATTCTGCCAGGGGCGTAGCACCCACTGTTTACCTCAATATTAGAACTTTTTGATCTTCTTAAGCAGCAGTTTAAAGAGAAAACTGAAAGTATGGTGAAGATTAAGCTAATGATACACAGATGAATACATGTGGTTTTGTATTGATAAAAATTATAATGACTCGTAATCAAATTTATGAGGATATATTTCAGCCAAAGGAAAATGACAGTTGCACTTTACCATTGTCATCGAAGCCATGGGTGATCTCGTGTCCTATGACCATGCCGATGCCCCCATAGTTCAATGAGTTGGACTGCTGGGCGCTAAAGAAGGGGGGCTGCAGAATGCCAGCTGGGAAGACTACAAGGAGAGAAGATGGTTAAGGATGATTTGTGGTATTACTCTATGACAGCAGGCCTGGGGTCAGCGCCGTGCTTGTTAAGATGCTGTCCAGTACGTCGGTTTCACTTAGGTATACACAAAAATCTTCTGTGATAGAAACAAATGCAGGCTGTTTGTTACTGATGACAACAAAGAGTTCATCCTGGAGTGGCACCCTAATCTATGATTTATAATCACAATTCACCGTACACTCTTTTTCAAAGATTATTTTCTGCTGTAAGGAGTTAGGAGTAAGGGAAAATGAAAAGCTTCATTCAGATGGTCCTTTCTCCCTTACAAATATTTGGAAGAAATAGTTTCTCAATAACACAAATATTACTTTTAATGTTATTTCTAAAACAGATGCCATTGTCTATCTACAATGGCATCTTAAATAAACAGCGTCACTCATCTGAAGGTATCCCTCAATCACATAACCTTATTTTACTTTCATCAAGGCACCTATGATTACCTTATATTTGGTTTATTTGTTTATGGCTGGAGTTGTTGCTTTTTCTGTCTGCCCCACTTCCACCCTAGCTCCTCAAATATTAGCCCTTTAAGAGTCGAGGTTTGTGAGTCTGTGTATTCATTTGTTTGGTTTTTGTTCCATCTGTTTTTACAGTTCATTAGCTCTATTACCTCAAACTAGAACAGTGCCTGGAACATAATCAGTGTGCAGGAAATGTGCCGAATAAATGAAGTTTTCATATGTCTACTCTGACATCTGCAGTAACTTGCTAACTTTCTCCATTTAGGGATCTCATAAACACTTTAAATTTAATGGGTCAAACATCAAACTCTAAGCCATAACCATAACTCTCTTGACCTTATTATTTCTGTTAATGACACTTGAAGGATCTCGATCACCCATGAATGTTTCTATGTATCTTAACTACCTCCCTTTTCTTTTACAAAGCCTTTTACGTTCTCCTTAGGTGAAGACCAGGTGATGTGTCTTCCTATCAGTTGCATCTCTCTGGTTTATCTCCTCCTGTCAGTATTACTGCCACCATCGTGCTTCACACACTCATTCCTTGTTGTAGGAATTACCTACTCTGTCTTCCCACCTCTTGTCTCAACTAACTATCTATAATCTATCCTAAATCTAATCTAGAATCTGAATCTATCCTGTAGCCAGCAGCAACTCTGGTCATTATTATTCTCCTGCTAAAAATCTTCAGAAGGCTTCTCACTGTTCTCTACATAAACACAATATCATCTCCAGGTGCCCTAGGCCCTGCTCCGTTATTCTCTTGTAATACATATTCTGGTCAAACCATATTTTTACTATTTCTGAAATATACTAATAATGTGATTTTCTTCTCTTCTCTTGGAATACATTTCATCTGTTTAATAAATTTTGGGGTCATGTTGTTTGACCATAGAAAGAAATTAAAATTAACGCCCACAGTTTAGTAATTTTATCTTTCATGTTTTAAAATTCTAGTATCTACTGAGTAACTGAAACATTATGTTCTGAAACAAACAAACAAAATCTTTTGTACCAACACCTGTTACCTGCAAAGCCATGGGTCATTGCTATGTGGGATATCAAGAATATAACAGAAGGGCCCTGACATTAAGAAACATAAGATCTAGTTAACACAGAATAGCTAGTGTTGTTTCTTTGTCTTTCAGGTGGGTTGAATATGACATAACCTTTCATGGGTTTCAGGGATAAATATTAGATATTTACAAAAGAGACTTTAAAAATACTCTGAGCAATTTAATTGCTCTCTCCAGACTTCTAAAAAATTTGGAAAGTTGCCATAACATTCAAATGACAAAGTAATAAAAAAATACTTTCGTCCTTGAAGAATTTTGATGAAAGTTATACCTCACGTGTAGCTGCCTGAGCTAAACAGTGCCAAGAAATTATTTTTAGCTTAAAGTATAAAAATTATGCACAGTACTTTATTAACTTAAAGTGAATACTATCTCCCACACTATGTACTTTGATTAAAATTTACCCATTATATAAAATGCTCTTATGAAACATGCTATCAAGACTAAACATTAACTATAAAGATCTTGCTGCTTTAATTATACCCTGATATGCCATTCTTCAGGCAAGTGATAAGATTTTTATGGCTCATATTAAATACTAGTTTTCAAGTTCAGCTTTGCTAATTATGATCTCCCCTTTAATTTCCTCAGCTAATCTTGCTAAGAGGGATTTTCCTCGTTAACCTTATTGCTGCCACTGGTAGACTTCACAACTGTTGCTTATAACCAACCGCTTGGGTGTACGTTTTTTACATTCATGATTGTCAAGGAGTGAGTTAATTAGGTTAGACATTGGTCTATGATACAAAAGACTGTTTCTCCCCTTCCTCCTCCTCTGCTCTCCCATCCCCCCAACACTTCACCAGAGCAACTTTCCTAAGTTACTTTTTAAGGCTGCAAGCAATTCAATTTTAACATATTTCAGATAAAGCTCATGTTTGCAATCAGGTAAAATGTTTTTGGTGGAAAATAATTAGACATTCTTTTATACTAAATGGAGTAGCAACATGTTTGGAAACATTTTCTCAATTTTCAAGTCTGAAAATAATGCTCCTAGGAATAAAAAAAGACACTTTAGAAAATTTAATTATCTTAAGGTATTCACAGACCACACAGGCTGAATATAGTAAATAGCTTATACATTTCTGAAATTTAAAAATATTCATTTAAAAGTTTCCTACTGAAATTTTAATGAAAAAGGAGAATACAGCAGCAGTAAGATTTTCCATCTGACTCGATCATTTCCTTGGATGAGAGTTTAAGGTTTAATAAGATGATTCAACTCTGCCTGGAACTTGCAGAGAAACATTTGACAAACATTCAGGGGCAACTTTCTTAATGGCATGACATGGAAGGCTTCTGGAGCACCATGAAGCAACTGGGCAAGGAAGAGGAAGAATAAATTAAACACTTTCCAGTATGCCTTCTTTCCTAGAAATTGACTTCTTTGTTTATGTGAAGTGGTGAGTGGTGTAACAAATTTGAATGTGAGTTCTAGCAAAATATGGCAGAAGCTGAATTAAAAAGTAGAGATTGGGGCATGGGCAATATACATAACCTTAACACTTGTACCCCCATAATATGCTAAAATAAAAATAAATAAATTAAAAAAATAAAAATAAAAAAGATGTAATGAGCAAAAATAAAAAGTAGAAATTATTGATATAACTCCCTAATGATAATAAAATATTTTTAGCATAAAATGACCAATCCTGGCAAAAAGTGTATGCAATCTAACTTGAGGTGTTTGTTTGTCTGTGTGTGTGGGGGGTCATGTATGTGGAAGATACTATTCTATACTAACTCCAATGGTGTAATGAACTTCATACCAAATCTATTAAGACAGTGCTGCAGAAGATATGTATGTATGTGTGTATTTATATACACACACACACATTTTTATCAAGGAGAAAGGTGAAGATCTGAATCTTCAATTATTTTTAGTTAAGACAATTCCCACTTTGAATATCTAAATGAATTGTCAAAGAGGAAAAAGTGCATATTTCAAAGATTTTCCCTCTTGCATGACACTTTCCTCTCTTTGAACTGCTATTATTAGCAGACAAGCATATGGACAGAGGTTAACAGTTTTCTGAATTCATATTTCCATCAGATGCATTTATCTTGAGAATTATTAAAAAGATCTTTCTTATATATTAAGAATGGGAGGCTTGGAGTGGTGGTTCACTCCTGTAATCCCAGCACTTTGGGAGGCTAAAGCAGGAGGATTACTTGAGAGTAGGAGTTTGAAACGAGCCTGGGCAACATAGAGAGTCCCCCATCTCTACAAAAAATTTAAAAATTAGCTGGGCATGGTGGTGCACACCTTTAGTCCCAGCTACTCAGGAAGCTGAGCCAGAAGAATCACTTGAGCCTGGGAGTTCAAGGCTACAGTGAGGTGTGATCTTGCCACTGCACTACAGCCTGGGAGACACAGATAAACTCTTTCTCTAAAATAAAAATGCTTATTATGGCCAATTATTCATCATTCAGAGGATGATTTTCTATTTTGTGAAATGTTGGGCCACTTTTACCTTCTTTTTCCTTTTGCTATGTGCTTGTTTGATTTGAGGATGACAAACTCAAAATGAGAGCATTTCCAACTCTTCTCTGATCAGAGAATCTCTGAAGTAGACTAATTTTGAGCCATCTCCAGAGACTTGGGGGTAATTCAGAGTCAAACAAGGTCATGTCTTGGGACCTTAAGCTGCCTGGGCCTACTCTAGCTGAACATGCCAAAGTGTTCCTACAGAGGATGTAGCAGCACCAGGTCTGATAGGATCAGGTCTGATTCCTCCCTTAGCTGGACTGAAATGAAACTATATCCCTCAGTCTGCCCTAATGCACAGCTAAGGGTCTAGGTTGTCTCACTGAGCCTTGGCATTGTACTGAAAATTAATTCAGTGCAATGCCATGAATTAATTATCTACCTCTTCTTAACTTAAAAGCAATGGAGAATAGTGTAATCAATCTCGGTGTAGAATGAAAGAGATCTTACACTGACAGAACTACTAAATATTAAAAATAAATTTCAAAGTGAAAACCCTCCAGAGAGAAAGGCATTTCTAAGAAAAGGTGTGAAAGGTTTTAGGAATATATTACAAAGGGTTGACTACATGGTTCCAAAGAGTTGATCATTAATCAGGTTCTGGTCTGAGTTTAGGCAATCATTTCCACAGCCAGAAGACATTAGCTTAGACTTTGAGCTAACTGATTTGAACCTGGGCGCACATGTCTGTTTTACTTATTATTTATAGGTTATATAAAGACTATCTTTCCTGGTTACATCATATAATTCATTTTCATGTCATGTACCAAAGTAAATTCCAGATGGATTAAAGTTTTATTCCAAAATCAGAAACCATAAAAATACTAAAAGAAGATGTAGATAACTTAACTTAGCTCTTCTTAACTTAAAAGCAAGGGAGAAAGGTGTAATCAAACTTTAACATAAAAGGATATAATTTTGTTTAAGATTTGTTTATTAATCAATGATAGATATCTTATAGGATTTTTCATAATTTCTAATTGGTACCGTGTTTCGCCAAAAATAAGACAGGGTCTTATATTTATTTTTCCTCAAGAAGACACCCTAGGGCTTATTTTCAGGGGATGTGTTATTTTTTTTAAGTACGGTACAACAATCTACATTTATTCAGATATAGTTAAGTCGTCTTCTTCTGGAACATCATCATAACTCTCCAAACCCTGAATTCCATCCTGAATTTCTTGCGACTCTATTTCCTTTAGAACCACTGGCCCCAATCTCTCATGTTGAGCAATAGAGATCTCATGGGGCAGATGAGAAGGGCTGCTCATCTTTACTGCTCCGCGATGAAATGCATGGGTTGTACAGATAGGCTGTGTAGCCATGCCCACCACTAGGTCTTATTTTCAGGGTAAGGCTTATATTGTGCAAATGCTTAGAAATCCTGCTAGGGTTTATTTTGTGGGTAGGGCTTATTTTCGGGAAAACACAGTAACAGAATTCAAGAAAAATGAGGCTTACAACAGACTCTGAGATAGCAATAGAGTAGTTTAGAATAATGCTGAGGTTATCTTCTTTTTTTTTTTCTTTTTCTTATTTTTTAAGAGAACAAGGTCTCACTCTGTCAACTAGGCACCCAGGAATGTAGTAGCATGATCATAGTTCACTGCAGCCTCAAACTCTTAGGCTCAAGTGGTCCTTTTGCTTTAGTCTCCCAAGTAGTTAGGGCTACAGGCATACATTACTATGTCTGGCTATCTTTTAAAAACTTTTTGGTAGAAATGGAGATGCTTGGTATATCGTTCAGGCTGGTTTCTAATTCTTGGCCTCAAATGATCCTCCCGCCTCAGCCTTCAAAATTGCTGGGACTACAAGCGTGAGCCACTGAGCCCAGCTATCTTCTCTATTGATTCTGGATCACACTTAGAATTGAAGGGCAGGACTCAGCCAACCTAGAGAACTAAGTACATCTGGAGGCTCTACTGTTCATTTAGAATACCTCTGGCAGCACTGAATCAGTTGGGTACCTTTCTAATGCTAATAACCCTCCCAAAAAACTGGGTCCATTTATGTGATATGACAGAGAGAGTTCAAAGATGACCAGGCCTTCCCAGGAAAAGAAAAAAATATATATCTTGTTCATATTAAGTCATTTAATTATTCATTATATATGACCATTCGTGTATTATTTTTATTTATATGCCTGTGATGTTACTATTAGTGATCATAAATGGTTAGGTAAATACAATTTCATATGGTTCAACTTAATATAATTGAGTTTTTAACTTTTTAAACTCCTTGGTGGCTTCCAGAATGAAGATGACGTAGATAGAGCTATCTCTACTAGAACCAGCATACAGAATTGTCAGGAGAATTGTATCTGTGGAAAGTAGGCTCTTGGAACTTTAAGCCACTTTAAGATGCTGATGCTTAGGAAGTCTTAAAGTCAATATAGCTTCATATGGCTATATAAGAGACTTTTACAAAGTACTTACGATAAGATACAAGTACTTAGAAATAAGAAAAACCATTTTAGCTATAAATGGGAATAATATAAAAGAAACAAAACTACTTAATGTGGTTTGTAATAATTTAAATTTTGAAAGCATTCCCACTAAGAACTGGAACAAGAGAAGGGTATCCACCGTCACCACTTCTATTTAACATAGTGCTAGAATTCCCAGCCAGAGCAATCAAGAGAAAGAAATAAAAGGTATCTAAATCAGGAAAAAGGTTAAATTATCACTTTTTGCTTGATGATATGATCTTATATCTAGAAAATCCCAAATACTCCTCCAAGAGACTCCTGGAATTGATAAATAAATTCAGCAAAGTCTCAGGTTACAAAATCAATGTACACAAATAAGTAGCATTTCTATACATTAATTACAGTCAAGCCGAGAGTCATATCAAAGACTCAATACCATTCACAATAGCTACAAAAAAAATAAAATACCTAGGAATATACTTAACCAAGGAGGCAAAAGATCTCTACAAAGAGAACTACTAAACTCTGAGGAAAGAAATTGCAGACAACACAAACAAATGGAAAAACATATCATACTCATGGATTGACAGAATCAACATTGTTAAAATGTCCATATTTTACCCAAAGTGATTTACAGATTCAATGCAATCCTCATCAAAATACCAATGTCATATTTCATAGACCTAGAAAAATTAATCCTACCCTTCGTTTGCAAATAGAAAAGAACCTGAATAGCCAAAGCAATCTTAAGCAAAAAGAATGAATCTGGAGACATCAAATTACCAGACTTCAAACTATACTACAAGGCTAACATAACCAAAACACTATGGTATTGGCACAAAAATAGAGACACAGACCAATGGAATAGAAGAGAGCACCCAGATACAAAACCATCCACATATAGGCAACTGATCTTTGACAAAGCAGACAATAATATACACTGGGGAAAAGAATCCCTTTTCAATAAGTGATGCTGGGAAAATTGGATAGCCACATGTAAAAGAATGAAACAGGATCTATATCTCTCGCCACTCACAAAAATTAATTCAAGATGGATAAAAGACTTAAACATAAGGCATGAAACCATAAGAATTCTAGAAGAAAATATAGGAAAAACTACATATCTGTGTAGGCAAAGAATTTATGAACAAGACTCCAAGGGCAATCACAGCAACAATAAAAATAAATAAATGGGCCTTGATTAAATTAAAAAGCTTCTGCACAGCTAAGGAAATAATAGATAGAGCAAACAGACAACCTAGAGAATGGGAGAAAATATTCACAAGCTATATATCTGATAAAGGGCTAGTAACCAGAATCTACAAAGAGCTCAAACAAATCAGCAAGAAAAAAACAAACAACCCCATTTAAAAGTGGGCAAAAGACAATAGCAGAAGCTTTTCAAAAGAAGATAGACAAATGGCCAATAAACATATGAAAAAGTGCTCAACATCATAATCATCATGGAAATGCAAATTTAAACCACAATTAGATATAACCTTACCCCAGTTAGAATGGCTTTTATTAAAAAGTCCAAAAACAATAGATGCTGGCTTGGATGCTGAGAAAAAGGAACACTTGTACACTACTGGTGGGACTGCAAATTAACACAACCTCTGTGGAAAACAGTGTAGAGATTCCTCAAAGAACTTAAAGGAGACCTACCATTCGATCCAACAATCCCACTACTGGGTATCTACCCAAAGGAAAAGACGTCATTTTATCAGGAAGACATCTGCACTCAAATGTTTATTGCAGCACATCATAATTGCAAAGATGTGAAATCAAGCCAAGTGCCCATTAGTTCATGACTAAATTAACAAAATGTGCTATATGTAAACCATGGAGCACTACTCAGCCACAAAAAGGATGAATTAATACCTTTTGCAGCAATTTGGATAGAACTGGAGACTATTATCTTAAGTGAAGTATCTCAAGAATGGATAAACAAGCACCACATGTACTCACTATTAAATTGTAACTAACTGACGAGCATACATGTGCACACAGGGAAGAAAAACTCAATGGAAATCAAGCATTGGTGCAGGGGAGGAGGGAATAAGCAAAACATTCCTTACAGGTACAATGAACACTATCTGGGTGATGGGCACACTTATAGCTCTGACTTAAACATTACAAAAGAGAGCCAGATAACCAAAACATTTGTGTCCCCATTATATTTTGAAGTAATAAAAAAAAGTAACCAACCAATGACAATAAAATTAAAACTTCCTATTATAGTGAAAAGAGGTACATAGATGCACTTATTTTCAAGAAGTATATTCAATAAATTAATGACTCAGCCTCAGCTGTGCCTATTTGAGAGTATTTCAAATTGGTCATATAATGCACTACTGATCGGAAATAGTAGAGAAATATTAAAGAATTATTTAGGAATACATCTTACCTATCTGATTTCTGCCTGAAGAATAAAATGCATTGACTACAGCTGCTCCGCTTATCCACCTATAAAAAACATAAGAACTCATTACAAATGATACCACATTATCTGATTCAATCTGCTCACCATAATAAAAGCATTATTACTATTCCTAGATGACTTTTAACTTTCTATTTGAAATATGATCAACAAATTAAAATTAGCTTACTAGATGAGAGCTCATGTGACAGTTATTTTTATTTCTTGAAAACATCAGCATATATCATATCCAGGTCTGCAATCTGTTATTTTATTTGCATGCATTTTGTGGAGGTATCTGACAGTGCAAAATCTATTAACACGTATTTTTTCAGAAATTGAAATGAGCTAAGATTAGATTGAAATGTATTTAGCTTTATGTTCCTGAGACTAGGTAACTATGCCAACAATTCTGGATCAGTTGAAGGAATATTGAAGTACAGGTCCTTAAAACTTCAGATTCAAGCAAATTTAAATCAATTTCATTCTTGGTTTATAAAGAGCCTTTTAGGGAATTAAGCTATCTCAGGTAGTTAGATTGGAGTAATGAGCCTCTGATTATTGCCATTTAAATCTATTTTTTTAAAAATACAACATTCCTATTTGAACAAAGGTATATTTTTATATGATTCTAAAATGAAAACCAGGTAGTTCTTAAGTAGAGTTGTTTGTCTGTCTATACCATGTTTTAGGCTTTGTATAGAACCTAGACATTTTATAAAATAGAGTCCCTGACTTCAGGAGACTCTAGTTTAGTTGAGGAGATGAGAAAGACACATAATTAATTATAACACAAGACTGAATGATAAAATGGTAAAAATAGCTCCTGGATGATAATTTGAGGGCCGAAGGACAGGAGCCAATGTTTCCATGTCTTTCTGATCAGAAGTTATGAAGATTTTCTATCAATAATCATATGTTTGGAACTTTTGTGCAACAGGAATAGTATTCTCATCATAGTAGACTTACATATATTGTCATATACTCACTGAAAAATGAACACTTTGACTTCAGATAATCTCTTAAATGTTGGTACACATGCAAACACTTAAGACTATTATCTATTATTATCTAATGGCTTCATTGTGGTTATTCTACTTTTAGGGCAAAGTGTGACAATTATTTTCCTACTCACAGAAGGAGTTTACAGTAATTAGTACAGTAAGGTTAAATCAGAATTGTGTCTAGACCCTGCTTCATCCGGTAAGCAGTACAAAGTCATCTGTCCAAATAAGCATTTTAGTTACAATATCAGTAACTATCGTGGAATATCAGAGGTGAGTCCTATTTTGATCTCTTAAAAACAAGTGGCAAAGGGCCATATATAACAACTTTCTGATACATTCTGAGTAAGTACAGGTGTTGTCTTCTCCAATACTATGATTAAGACTTTGCATAAAAAGGATTTGAGACATTTCAAAAAACTCAGTTAACATTTCTGTGAATTTTTCTTTAGAAAGAAAATAAGGTTGAAGATGAGGAAGAATGGTTGATAAATGAATAGTTAATGAATGTGTTTCTTCCTTAGTTTTTTACTATTGTTGCTTTAAATGGAGAAAAACATTTTAAACAGGATGGGGGGACTGATACACCAGTCCTCCGTAATTTCATCACAGCCAAGTCATCAATATTTTAATACTTCTTGTAGATTTATGATTATAAAAAATATAATTTTATTTATTTTAATTAAACTCCACTTGCTTCCTGCATAATTTGTGGTGACTAACAAGAAAAACATGTATTTGTAAACCCAGGGATATTAGACTACAATTGAAAGATCAGAAACTACATGGAATGAGTAGATTTCATTTGTGTGATTAGGAAATATTATAAGAGAAAATATATAAACAAAAATTATGATCAGGAAGAATAATAGAACTATGTTTATATCTATTTACACAGTTACTATGAGGTAGGTTCAAATATGGTTCCAATTTGCCAGGCAAAAGGGTCCAAATGGAAAATGTGCTCACACTTCTCCTGGGGGAAAATATCGTTCCTTGAATGATTTGTAACATGTATTTCTGATGTAGTTCTGATCTAAAAACTCTGATAGCAAAAACGGCAGCAAATTTGATATGTAAACAGCTTATAATTATTAAAATTTTAATTACTATGAAAGTTAATTTAATATGTTTCCAGATCTTACTGATTTTAGGGTTCAGTTTCTCAGATATGAACTTCTGTTTTAGTGACAGTAAATTCTGTATGGACTTTTATGAGTAATCACAAATAATACTCGCAAATTGTTTGGCTCCAGACTAGTCAAAACTTCTAAATGAAATAGAAAAGATGCCAATACAAATTGTTTGTAAATTAAGTGTTATTACAGAGGAGAGGAACTATATATACAAAACTGATGTTTCAGACAATAGATCTCAAAAGCAGGACAGGGATGAATGAAGTTTATACGATATTACCTATTTTGTGTTTATTGCTTTTGTAAAAATAAACGTCATATCTTTTGTTTTAGTGCTTTTCTGCTCTTCTGTTACATTGTTTTTAAGGGCTTTAAGATTACATTTTGATTAATGTTTGTAACTTTCCAGTAGGGAGAGTTTTGCTTATTAAAATGTACACTGTGAATTATACCTTCAAGAAAATAGGTAGCTATTTATGACCATAGAACACTCAAACAAAATTAGAATTATGGTGGTTGGGTTTACAGAACACTAGTGTGTAGTATTTGCCTTTTCTTTCTAGAGATCTTTCATGATGCATTCTCAGACCACTCTGGGGAATTATCCTGATTCAAAAGCACAGAACATTTTGTTCCTGGTAAATGATCAGAACTTGAAGTATTGTGATTAGATCATTACACCTTAAATAAGGTAATGATAACAACTATAGACTGAATGTCTAATATCTGTGGTCAAATGAAATATCTCACTATGTTAATGTAGAAGCTAACAGGGCAAAGAAAATGGTTTTCAAATTAAAACAATGATGTAACAAAAACTGTAAGTTCTTCTGATTTGGTGGCAGTCTTCATAAATGGAAAAGCATCCATATATGGAACACAGATGAATTTGACTTTGAACAGCAGCACAGAGAAGAGAAAATGTACATATAGAAAAGAAAATCAAATAGTGGTGATTCTTGCTCTAAAATAATGGTTAATACAGGTTACTTGGAGATAGCCTTAAAGTGTGGAGGCCAGACGCTAACAGCCTCCAGAGAGCAGCGTCAGACCTGAGAGATGAAGCCAAAGTACTATGTTCTTCCCTTTCTGTTCGTTTCTCCGGGGTCTATATGTGTGGGTGTGCATGGTATAAAGTGAAGAGTAGGAAAGCAGGAAGAAACTTTATTCTTAATTACCAAAATGTAATTTTGTCAGGTAAGCTTATTCTTTTTTTTTGGGGGGGGGGCATTCAATAGTAAAACAAAAAGGGGCTGCTATAAGCAGCAAGGCCCTCAAAGCTGAACTAACAGCATGAGTAGGAAATATACACTTGAGAGAGGGACCAGGTGTTTCTCCTCTGTCTCTTATTACCCTGAAGAAGCTTAGCGGTGATGAAATGAAAGTTCATGGACATCATTTTCATAGCAGGGAAGAAGAGTAGAGGCCAACAGACTGATCCTACATTTCAGATATAATAAAACCACAGGATTGCAAAGGCACCTGGAATAAAATTTCTCTTTCACCCACTCTTGTGTAGCTTTAAAATTTAAGACGACAAAATTGTTAATATGTGTTTCCTGCAAGTGTTCAATCTCTCAACATCTAGTAGTCTCAAGACAATTCCCTTGAAATTAGCAGTGCAATATGATAGTTTTTTCTGTGCCTTCCTCAAGTACTCCTGGGTGGAAAGAATTTTTATCTTATGATCACGATAATCACTATAATACTTTACATTTATCAATATTCTCTTATCAAGACTTCAAAGCTTTCTATACATTTTCATTCACATTTCAAACCATCCATATAATATAGATGGCACCTACAATTTGCAGGTGTAGAAAGTGAGGCACAGTATGATTATTAAAGTCTTTTTCGTAGTACATATATAAGCTAAGTGATATAACTGGGAAAAGAATATTTAAACTAAGGAGAATGAGAGTCTGCCCAGTTTCCAATTAAATCTCCTACTTCTAAGCTGTTGATCTGCATCATACTCAAAATTTCATTACATTGACTGAGGCCATTTTCCTGCCATTCTCTTTAAAAATGAAGCTGATCATTTCTTATTACTGTTTCACACTTAGGATCCTCCTTCCCTTAAAGTCTTTAGGATGGTGGTCTCTATACCACCCTGAACCAATTCTAGAAGATCCATCATGACTAGACCCTAACAACTACAGTAGGTACAATTTAATCAGCACCTAAGTTACACACCAGGCACGTTATACCACAACATGGCCGTGCAAGGCAAAAGTAGATGTTATTATTTACAGTTTATAAAGAAGAAATTAGGGTTCTGAGGTTATCTAAGTTCACACAGCTAATAAAAGGCAGGAATCCTGACTCAGATCAGCTCCCTTACCCTGACTCCATAGCACATGCTCGTCCCCCTGTTCCATAAGGTACAATGTTTTTCCCAAAGGCAGATGCGCAGTACGACCAAGGAACTTCATTAAACTGTTCACTGTTGTTGCATGAGAGTTAACACAACTGAAGTATTCTCAGTGACTCACCTAAATCTGAGGCCAGGACTTTCATTCTGACTTCAAACGGAGAGAATCCACTTTTCTTTCAACAAAAGGTAACCACTACTCTGATTTTCAACAGAAAACCACTACTCTGATTTTATCCCTAAATGTCATCAGTTGTTTGTGTGTGATGCCAATTTGGCAACAAGGCACAATCTTTCTAGTCTTAAATAATTTATATATGTGTACATGCATGTATGTGAGCACACACACATGTGGTATGCTAAGTTCAGAGAAATTCCCTATTTTGGAGACATGTGGATCATTTAGGTCAGAATTTTCTTTCAGTGACTTTTTCTACTGATTTAAAGTAATCCTGGGAACTTACAGGAAAAATCTGAAACCTCTTCCATCCTGTATAAGCCTTAGCACTGAATAATTTGACATAAGGCTATTG